TTTTCAGCTCCAAAAGGCCATTATCCCTTTACCCACATGTAAACCTTGACTTGGGCTGGAAGAACCTGTGTCCGTAGGGAAGCTGGGCATGGAGGGTGAGACCCAGTAGGCCAGACTCAGGCTGGCCTGAGTGGGGCAGTTCTGTGAGGTGCTATTGCTGCCTCTCCCAGCCCTTCCACTGTCTGGCCCATGGTCCAAGTGGCCAAGGCAGCCAGGGAACCCAGTGTCCATGGTGCCCTCACCTGAACCCGAGCCTCGGTCAGGTCTGTGCGCAGAGCCAGCTGCTCCCGGGCGTACACATCAGGGTAGTGGGTTTTCTGGAAGACCTTCTCCAACTCCTCCAGCTGGAATGTGCTGAAGGTTGTGCGGTTACGGCGCTTCTTGCTCTTGTTCTTGGCTAACTCCATGGAGTCAGGGAGTCCCGGGGAAAGAGGGACACGAAGACTGGCCAGGCAGGGGCCTGGGGAGCCTTGCAAGTTAGCGGGCCCGTCTCTGGGGCCCCCTTGGCAGTCCAAGGGCAGCTGGGGGAAGCTGGCGGCTTTGGAAGCTGTCTCCTCAGCTGCAATGGAAACACAGAAAGGAGGATGGAAACAGAACCGGGGGTTTTGTGGGTGGAATGGAGGGAGGGGAAGAACACTGACGCTCCAGTCTCCGCCTCCCCCTGCCTTCCCTTCCCTGCCCTTTCTCCCAGCAGCCACCCTCCATGGGAGCCTGGCATTCAGAGGCCTGCCTGCTGAGCCTCCAGCTGGGGAGGGGGCCCTAGGGAACCATGTGCTCTGTGGTCTGGGCGGATCTGCTGGGGCCAGAGGGGGGTTCATTTCGGGGAAGTGCTCTGTGGTGGTGCATCCCACAGGGTGTGGAGGTGCCAGGATTGGCGCCATAGCGGGGACTGCCACCCTGGCAGGGCCAAGAATGGAGGTGGGAGTGAGGACAGGGTGGTTGACATCTCCCATCCCTGCCAGGAAGGTCTCCCTTGTTCCTGACTCTGCAGGTCTTGGTTCCCACACCCTTATGCTCACGTTTCAGCTTCCAGGATCAGATGGCAGTGCGTGGAGATGCTCAGACCACCTTTAATTGGGCTGTCTGGGTCTCATTCTCTGAACCCCAAGTCTCAGGTCAACATCAAATCCCCCAGCTCTGCTATGTGAAGGACGAGATGGGACAAAGACGCTTCCAGGGAAGTCGCCTCTTTCCCCTAAAGTTGTCTGGACAAGGACTTAAGCTCCAACAATGGGGAAATGGAGGCCAGATAGGCTATACTTGGAGAAGGGGAGATGAGGGACCAGTGTTGAAATGGGGCACAGGCCCCTTTCTCTGTCTCTCTCGTCATGCCTACTCCTCCCTCCTCAGGAGTTTCTGGCTGCTCCCTATTTGCCTGTGATTAACAAACAGGGAGGGCTCGATTGCAGACTGGGCACAGTTCCCAGCAGCCCCACTCTGACGTGCTAACCCTCACTCAGGAAACTTGTCAGAGCCCCACCATGACTGACCAACAGGGCATGGTGAAAAATAGGTCACCCTGATCACCCCCATCCTCTCCCTCTGGCAAGGACCCCCAGCAGTGTCCCCATGAAATCCCTCCTCGACAGTCCACTGGGATGACAACCACGACGCCACAAAGACGCTCCACTGACTCATACCAACCCTTCCCTGGCCCAGGCCCATCTCCAGTGGGGGCCTGGCTCTCAGGAGGCCCAGTTAGCTGGCACCAAAATGTAAGTTTCTTCCTGAGGATTGGTGATGGGGTCACGGCTGCAGTTATGGGGGGATATAACCAGAGAGACAGGCTTCTCAGGATCTGGGTCAAAGGAGTCCCCTATCTGCAAGGTGGAGCACAAGTTCTGGAAGGTCATCAGTGAATTCTCATGACCACCCAGGCTCTGTAATAAGCTCCCCATGTATGTCCTGGAGGCCTGGGACAGTCAGACAGTGCTTGGCCTCTGGTTTTGCCCAGACCGCAGGGATAGCTCAGACACCAGTACTCCTTCACAACTCAGGTGTAACCCAGGGGAAAAAATGTTCCACTCTTGGAAAACATAGTTTGGCTCTATGGGTGGTTTCATTTGGTAGACATTTAGGAAGGAGAACTCACAGAAGTTAAATCTAATAATTGAAAATGGTCAGGGAAAGCAGGGAAACTAGAAAGGGGACACCCCTCATATGGTAGTTCCTCAAAATGACCTGAAAGGGAAAAGTCTTGGCTTCTTGGGTTCTCAGGGAGGCTATGTTTGACTCTAGGCAGGAAAGGAGTGACAGTAGGTCAGAGTAAGAGTTCCCAGAGGACTGGTAACACTGTGGAGAGCGCCGCAAAGTCCTGGGGTTTGCTCATCTGTCTCTTGCACCCTTGGTTGTCTGTCTAATAGGACCTACCCAGAGAAAATGATCAGATCTGAGGTCCTGGGACTTGCTTTCCTGATCTTGAGCCACCCAGCTGTTAGGGTCAAGGGATGAAAGTGCAAAAGGATTTTTTTTAGAACAGCTACTCCAAGAAAGAGCCCAAGCCAGCTGGCCTCTCACACACCTCCCATTCCTGCCCAGTCTACAGCCCTCTCCAAGGACCAACAAACTACTCTCTTCTCACCTCCTTGATCTGCTGAGGATTCCAGGGAGAGCAAGTATCTCCCTTCTTTGGGACACAGGGTAGCTTCTCAGAGAACACTGAGCAGCCTCCTGAGGAGCAAGGTCCAGGAGAGAACACATTAAAATAGGATAAATGGCCAGGCACATGCCTGTAATTCTAGCCACTGGGGAGGCCTAGGAAGGAGAATTGCAAGTCTGAGGCCAGTCTGGGTGACTGAGGGAGACCTTGTCTCTATTAATAAATAAGGCTGGGGATGCAGTTCAGTATTAGAGCACCCTGGATTCAATCCCCAGTACAGAAAGAAAGAAAGAGAGAGAGAGAGAAACAGAAAGAAATGGAAGGCAACAGTCATGAAAAGGCCACCCAGGAATGAAAGCCAGCAATTTGAGTCTAAACTTTTCAGGGAAGGCTGCTCTGTTAAGGGGACATACCTGAGGTGTGTGTAGGAGACACTGCACCTGGTCCAGACAGTGGATGGCAGAGAGAGAGTACTCATATTGGATGGACACTGGGAGCCTGAGGCTCAATACCCACAGTGTCCTCTGCCTCCACAACCTCAGAACCACGCACACAATTTGTCCAGAGTAAAAGCCAGGAGCCAGGATGAACTGGGGAACATATCAACCAAAGTTCTCTGTCCCTGACCCTGGACCTGGACCTCACACCTGTCACACACAACAGCCCACTAGGTGCTCCCTTCAAGCCCCCAGGCTGCACAAAAACTGCACCTCTCTAGGCTGCCTACTGATAGCCCCAGTGCGGTCTGATGCAGCAGGGCAGCAGCGGCAGGACCAAACACCTCTTGACACTCTGCAGTGCGCTGTTTCCTGTCGCCCCGCTGGGGTCTAAGCGATTCGGAAGTTTTCTGAGACCTGGGTACCCGTAACTCTGGCGGATACTGGAGTGGACATAAACGCAGGACCCCTGAAGGGGCTTTGGTACTCTCCCTAGGAGAGGTCCTCTGCCTTGGCTTAGAAGCCTCAGCCTGGGACTAAGGATTGGGGAAGTTCCTTCACGTCCAAGACCGGCCTCAGGGACTCAGCCTAGGTGGGGTGAGTCCAGCAGGAGTCTTTGCCTGAGGGCGAGTTCCGAGGTCAGGAAACCAGGCCTGGGGACTGATTAAACGAGGAACAAGAAGAAACTGCTGATCACTTTCCCAGTCCTCAGAACATCCAGGAGCGGAAGGCGCTAGGGTGATACCGCTAGGACATAGCCAGGGTCCAGAGCAGAGCTGGGAGTTCTCTGAAAAGAGCAGCCTGAGACCGTCAGGGCGAGGGTGCAAGGCGAGGGCTCTGTTCGGTGCGCAAGGCTCCCAAGAGCGCAAATGTGTGGCCTCGGCAAAGATCGCACCGCAGATGGGGCACAGCTGCTGCGCTCACTGGTCTGAACTGGAAACGCTCCGAGCCCAGTATTTTAAAAGCAGGGAAATAAGGCAGTATCCCCCTTCGCCCGCCAGTTCGCCCCAAGTAGGCTGCGTGGCCTGAGTCCCTTTGGGTATCTCTTCCCAGCAACCGCGCCAAGGTCCTCTCTGTTGCAGCGCCGCCAGAGATCTTGACCAAGCAAGACTCCTGGGGAGGTGAGCAACGGCCAGGGTCTCCTCCCAGGCTCCTCTCTCACCACCGCGCCTTCTTTTCGTTTGGCCTGTCCTCTGCTCATCTTGAATTGTTAGTTTTCTATCCCACTTGTTCCCATGTTGTTAGGCTCTATGCTTTCTGGATGTCTCGTTTTCTTTCGTTTTATCTGTTCTCCCTCTCTCCGTCTTTTCCCTTTCTCATGTACCCGCTTGGTTCGATCTTCCGCTTGCTTCTTTTTTCGTTCGTTCGTTCGTTCATTTATTCCTTTCGGTTTTTCTGCCCGGTTCGCCGTCTACCGTTTCTCTCTCCTCGCCGCCCTCTTCCGTTGTTTTGTTCAGTTCTCCCCTCCTCCTCCTTTTTAGTTGTTTACACTATGGGGCTTTCTCCGCAATTCGTTCGTTGTCAACGCATCCTTGCCGTCGGATGATCCCAGGCTGCTGGCTTCCTCCCAGCCGTTTATTCCGCCCTAGCGTTCCCCGCAGTGAGCTCAGCTCCGGGGCTGTCCAGGCACCCGGACGGTCTAGGCAGGATGCAGCGCAAACAGCGCGACGCGGGCGAGACAGTGGTTCCTGCTGGATGCGGGCGCGCTGAGCCAGGCGGGTACCTGTCCCTGGCGGTGCTTTCGACACTGCGCGGCCGCCGCCGTCTGGCAGGGATCAGAGGAGCCAGACCAACTGCTTCTCATTAAGTCCCAACTGTGGTTTTTATCAGTAGAACCTCTTTCAAAGTGCCCAGACACGAAGCTCCGCGGACTCGCTCATTTCCTCCACTGACCCCCACACACCTCCCCGCCCTCCCCTACACACTCCTACCGCCCAGGCTGGACTAAGGCCCGAATTGTCCAGCCACTCGGGAGAGGGCCTGGAAGCGCCAGCACGGCAGGGCGGTTGCGGGATGGGCGGATCCAGCTGAGGATCCAGCTCTGGGCCTCAGCTGCGGGATGTGGCAGCAAAGATGAGGTGGGCGTGAGCGCAGAGTCCCGCAGGTCAGCGGGTGTAGTGGGCGGCGGCGGGGCGGCGGACCAGTTCAGACACGTTCCTGGATGGTGGTCCGGCCCAGTGGGCCTTAGCCCAGGAGCCCAAGGAGCCCAGGGTTTAGGCTCGCCCAGGGCTGTTCCTGACGGCCCAACGGTGAGGATCCTGTGCGGGGACGCCAAGGTGAGAAGAAGACCATCACCGTGCAAAACGATGGGGAGGCCAGGTTAGTCTGAGAAATAAGGACTTAATATTCTGTCTTGAGATGGTGCCCTCACTGTAGGACCAGCTATGGCCAGTCCACCGAACGCCGAATTCATAGGCAGCGCCCTTCCTGCTGAGGGTGGGCCGGGGGAGAAAAGGCCAGCAAGGTCAGGCCACAGATCCTCGGCTGAGACCCGCTTGGCCACTCCAGGTCGAGGCCCAGCCTCTGCGTCCTCAACGGGAGCCAGACACAAAGCCAGCGTCGGGGCTCAGTGGTTCCCGGACCCTCGGCCCAGCCCTCGCTCCTGGGTCGGTGGCAGTTCCAGCACAACTCCGGCCAAATATAATCTTTCCTTCCTGCCATCGGGCCCGACTCGGCCTCGGGGCCGTCGCCGCTCCACTCTCCTTGACCTTCCGCCTCCCATTCCCGCCGCCGGGGCCACCGGGGCCCTTGCCTCCCACACTGCACTGGCCTTTGCCTAGCCCGGGCCAGGGGCAATCTGGCTTCCGAGGGAGCCGTGGCCAAAGGCGAAAGGGGCAAAAAGTTGAGGAATAAGCAAGCGGGAAGGAGAAGCGGGGAGGCCCAGGCGGGCCAGGGTAGGGAAGGAGAGAGGGTGGGCTGCGCGCTACCCGCCGCGCCGCGCGTTACCTTCCGCTGGGCCCTCGTAGAAGTGGCCGCCGTTGGGCGCCGGGCCGGGCCCGAGGTCCTGCAGGTACTTGGCGGGCGGCTTGGCTGGCTCTGGGAGGTAGGGCTCCAGGGGCCCGCAGGCCGGAAAGCGGGTCAGCCGCGGGCCGCAGGGCGGCGCGGGCTGCAGGTGAGGCGCCACGGCTGGAGTCCCCTGGGGACCTGGAGAATCGTCCCCTGCGGTCCCGTAGGGGCCGGGTGCGGGCCCCACGCCGAAAGGCGTGCAGCGCTCAGGGTCCATGCCGGTTCGGGGCTCACAGGCCGCCGGGGCTCGCGCTACCCGCGCGGCCTGTGAGCTCCCGCCAAGGGGGAGGGACCTGGGCTCGGGGGCGCGGAGCCCCCGGGAGCGGCGCGCGCCGCGGGGGGCGAGGGGGGTAAAGAGGAGGGGGCCGCTCCTCTGACTTAATGCTGGAACTATCCACGTCACGTGCGGCACCGCGCGGTTTAACCCCTCGGAGCCCGGGAACCCCCCTGATTCACCCCAAGCCCAGTGTCCCAAGCAGTTGGAGGAGAGGAGAAGGAAGGCTGCTTCCTTTCGAGGTCAGAATCCTTTTTGTCTACCTCTCTGGGTGAGTCCCTCGCTCAGAGCTGCACCCTTGGTCCTGATATCCCCCCTATCGGGGCTCTTGTTCGCGAAGGGATGAGGGACTGTAGCGGCAGACCCGATCCCAATAAACTCCCTTAGGCCTAGTCTCCTGCATGCTTGGGAGGAGAGAGAGCCTGGTGCAGGGGTGAGCTGCCCCTTACCTAGCTCTTTTTAAACTGGGAGCTGGATAAAGGTCCTTCCCAGAGCAGCACATTTCCCTTAGGGACCTCTTAGGGACAGAAGTCATTGGGGTCATTGTGTGGAAAGAGCTGTAAACTGTGAGTGGGGCCTGGGGAGCGTGGGCCTGCATACTGTCACTAATCAGCTGTGCAGCTGTGAACCAGTCTCCATGTCCACGTCTGACTGTAGAAATGGACAGAATAAGTCCCAGAATCTTTCTATATATTCCTGGTGAGTTTCAGAGCAGAGGGCTGGAGAAGACAGAGAGGCTCCCAGGTGCAGCTCAGGATTGAACAGGGTCTGGCAGAGGCAGCTTTTGGAGCAGAAGGAGGAACTGAAGAACTGCTGTTCCCCTCAGCAATAGGCAGAGTGAGTGACTTTCAGAGTGTCTGGGAACTCACTGGAGAAAGGCTATCACCAGCTCAGACCCCAGGGCTCTGACATCTAGGCCTGTCATCATGGAGGGGTCAGGGTAGAAACCCATTTCCTGAGATTTGGGTATCTCCAGTCAAAATGAAGCATTGGATTAGGGCAGTAACTTGGCATTTTTCCTTCTCTAACGGTCCCTCCCACCGAGGTGCACTTTGCCACTGAACCACACCCCAACCCTTATTTTATTTTATTTTATTTTTTTGAGACAAGGTCTCACTAAGTTGCCCGGGAAACTGGAGGAAACTTGAACATGTGATCCTCCTGCCTCAGCCTCCTGAGTCACTGGGCTTGAGGTATATACCACCATGCTCCAACAGAGTTTAGCATTTCTGAAAAGAGAAATGACCTCTACCCTAGCTAAGATTTGGGAAGAAATACCAAAAGGCCTTAGGACCTATATCACTGCCCATGGATTGAGGAACCGTAGGTCTGGGTTAAATCATTTATATTTTCAGTGCTCCAGAGACTAGCGAGAGAGGGGTGGGGAGTTAGACATCATTTGTATTTCATTTGAATTCTCAATTTTTAAAGGAATCCAAGAGGCCTGGTGTGAACACCTCCCTCTTCCGTTGGAGGCTTAGAGGGGGTTTCTTGGCTGTCCTCAGCCAGAGTTGGGCTGTAAATCAAGGCCAAACAGGAACCAGAAGCCTTGCATCTCACAAGGAGTCATTAAGCCATTATTAAACATACCATAACTTCTCTGAAGCCTTATTGGTTTAAACACCACATTGGAGGCATTATGGCCATTGGGGCCCCTAATCACAGACTGCAGACTGGGCAGAGAAATGGGAGCACCTGGGGCTAGTATTTCCCAGCCTACAGGAAGGCTGAGCTCAAAGTTAGTTTTTCCTCTAGCCTCACCAGGGGGATCCATTCTCCAGAGTCCAGTGGACCTTAGCTTTGGCAACCAACTTTCATTCATAATAAATAAGGTTTTTCAATAATTGTTAATTGGATGTTACTGACTTTCGGAGGAGAATCTGTAATTCACGACACCTATTCAATAAAGCTATCAAGCAGCTAATTAGAAGGATGCAAGTATGAGATGGAAAGATGTCACCAACACATCAAAACAAGTCAGTCTGGATTAAATAGCATATTTTTCCTCAAATGATAATCTTTCTGACTCTTTTCTTCAATCATAAAAATGGGCCGTACGTGTGGACATGAGGTATTTGAGAAGCACTCATGTTTTGATGTCCTGTGTTAAGAGATGATGACAATGATGATTTAAACGGGAGCCAGATATCTGGATTCCATCACTGAATTGGTGGAAAGTCCTGACTCCAGACTGAAGGGTCCTGAGGCTGCAGCTGAGCAGAGAGATTCAGCTCTGCTTTCTCAGGGACCCACACCCCTTTCCAAGCCTAGAAGTTCTTCCCAGCATGCCCTCACTCTTGGGACAGAAGTAATTTCCACTTGGAGGTGTGACCAATTTAAATAAGGAGACAGGATGGCCCAGATTATGTTCAAGTCTGGTGAGTTTGTGGAGTTTCCCCTCCTGTGAGGGTTCTCCCAGGATCAGGCAAGAGGAGACTCTCCAGCTCTCCTTTTTAACATGGGTGCAAACTTATATCTTCTTCTGTCTCTGGTCTGGGGGAATTTGATGGAATAGGTGCATAGAAAACACAAAAGTAGAACCTCCAAGTTATTAAACTTTCCTCCTTAGGCAGGTTGGGAGATCATGGGGTATGCAGAGATTCCTATTTTATAAGTATGTATACTTAAATGTAGTACTTATACTGTGTCAGAAATTATTTCATGTACTCTGCATACAGTTGACTTATTTAACCTTCACAACAACCTCACAAAGTAGGCACAAATATTATCCTTGTTTTGCAGAGAAAGAACCTGAGGTCACAGTAGAGAGCCATATTTTCAGGGTGGACAAAGCCAGTTTTTTTGGGGGGGGCGGGGAGTGCCAGGAATTGAACTTAGGGGCACTCGAACACTGAGGCACATTCCCAGCTCTATATCATATTTTATTTAGAGACAGGGTCTCACTGAGTTGCTTAGCATCTCACTTTTGCTGAGGCTGGCTTTAAACACGTGATCCTCTTGCCTCAGCCTCCTAAACCACTGGGATTACAGGTGAGTGCCACTGTACCCAGCCAAAGCCAGTTTTTACACTCAACTCCATGGTCCCCCCACTCTACATGACTCTCTCAAGCCCTCCTGCAGCCAACATAACAAAGTTAGAATCATTCATTGTGCACCCTTGTTATCCCAATGGGAAGGCTGGACTTCTCAAAAGGGAGGTTGAGGCCTGAATAGCTGCAGACAGAGTTGGTTTGAGTCAAGTGGCCCTGAGTGGTTTTGCAACCAACTCAGATGTGGAGCAGAGTTTTAAGAAAATTTGTGAGTTTACCATTCATGCTATTTAATAACCAGTTCAATTGTAGAATTTGTCACTGCTATTATCTACGGGGTAATAGATGAGCTGATAGATGATCCAGATAATTCTAGGTCCAGTAATAAGAAAAACTTATTTTTTTTTCATCTGCTGGGAAACACTACTTTTTAGATGGAAATAATACTTATTGACTGATGTGTAATTCCTTCACTTAATAGGTAGACCTGCTGGTGACAGGCATTTGGTACCAGAATACAGCAGAGAGCAAGACAGATGTGATCCCTGCCTGCATGGTGCTTACACTTTCTGAAATGCAAATGTCTCATCTACACTGAAGCAAACTGTCGCTTGGAGGTGGATTAGGATGGAATCTGTCTTGAGAGTAGAGTTCCTGGCCCCTGGCTCAAGTATAAGGTCAGTTCTTTAATTAAGGATCATAAGTTCCAGCTACTTCTTTCCCTTTCATTTTCTACTTCCCTCAGAGTTCACCACATGAAGGACAATGCCCTCCTTCTTCTCCCAGTGGATATCCAGGGAGGCTGGAATACTGGGAGAAATGTAAGCTCAGGTCTGAGATTTGCTTCACATATGCAGAACTTCTAGACTGGAAAAACTCAGTTGCTTTTTTCTTCTTTTTTTTCTTTTTCTCCAAAGGAAAGACAGTCAACATTACCCTTATCCTGTTTAGACACCAAAATCCTAAATTGATCCCTATGAAAATTCTGGGTTTGGGAGCCCAAGTAGATTGTTTCTCATTAGTGACATTCTTCCTGGAAGGTCAAGCTAAGGAATGGTAAATAAACCTTCAGATCCGGTATTTCCTCCTCATCCATGATATTTTTAAAAGAGGTTTGTGCTGTGGATACCTAGGATCCTTGCCTGGGATTCTAACAATCCAGGCTGAAGTCTGTGCTTTGGGGTGAAATTGCTGGGAGGTTGGAGAGCTAATTTTCCTCTTCGTTGGTTTGCTATATTTCAATGGGCAAGCCACTTAGCCTACCTGTGCCTCAGTTTCTCCACTAAGAAACTAGGAGGAATGATTCTGTAGTGTGGTTTACTAGACTGAATGATTGAGTGTTTATACAGATGTTTCTTGAGCCTGAATCCTCACTTGGTTGAGATGGAATGGGAGGAGGGGAGCAGAGAGGTGGAGCTGTGTCTGTGATGTGGCAGTGTCCAGAGGGCCTGATTGTCCTGTTATCTGACTTACTGCCTTTGAGTAAAGGTAAATGGATTCTGTGGCAAATGCCTGCATGGATCATGGAGTCATTTTGTGGAGGAGTTTTTGATGAACTTGTTCTTGGTGTAAAACAGAAAGGGAAGGTTTAGACTTCTGGGCAGTTGAACACTTTGGTTAATTAATTTGATGAATTTATGTGCTCATTGAGCCATTGTTGAATACCTGCCATGTGCCAGACAGCAAGACTGCGTGGAGGACAGAGCCAGAGATAGGACGGCTTACTCTCAGGGCTTTTCCAGACTGGCAGGAGAGAGACACAAAGCAATAGGCATTTACACTATGGAGCACAGCTGTGCTGAGGTGAGAGGGCACAGGGGGCCATGCAGGCCACAAGAAGGATGTCTATCCTAGCCATAGGGACAGCTGGTCACGGGGGTGCTCCAAGGTTGAATCCAGAAAGTTGAATGGGAGTTACCCAGGGAAAGAGGGCATCCTGGAGTGAACAACCCACAAATGAGAGAGAGGAAGCTAAGTTGGGGGAAATAGGATTTGTTGAATATTGCTGATCCTGGGGAAGAAGAGTTTGGGTTGGGGTAAAAGGAAGAGAGAAAAGATAGGGGCAGTATACAGGAATCTAGAGACACTCCAGGAGTAGCAAGCATGGCTCCAGAAGCATCAGTTCAGTTCCTAGTGCCTGATGAACACAGCCTCAAGCAGTGTGTTCAGTAGTGGGTGTTAGGGAGGAGAAAGCCCCAGGTCCTGGGAAGTGCCCCTACTCCAAGGGCGGGGAACCCAGGACCTATACCCAGCAGGCAGACACTGAGACAATAACAACAAGGAGGAGAACAGAAAATACAATCACTCATTGTCTGGGAGCCCTGAGGTGAGGAGTTGAGTGGAGGGGACAGACTGTGTGACTCTGGTTGGGTGAGGCCGTCTGTGAGCCTCTTGGAGCCACATTTTGCCTCTTACAGAGAATGCTGGCCAGGGCACCCCTTGAACTCATTTCAGCAGGAAATCCATTGGTTCCAGAGTGCAGATTCCAGATTTGTTATTTTACAGGGCTAATAAGTATGTAATTATCAGATTTGGGGCCCTTCAAAAGAAATGCAAACATATCCCACTGAACACCCTGAGAAATGTGAATGGACTCACCCCAGAGTTCTAGAGGGAGCTCCTCATCATGTCATAGATATATCCACTCCACACCAGGGTCTGTTCCTGAGCAGAGGATAACAGACGGGAGGTTGGACCTGAACTCTACAAGGAACCGGGAGGAGGGGCAGAGGATAGATGGGCCTCTGCACATCCCCCTCTGGAGTCTCCAGGGAAGGAGGGGTAGTGGGTAGGTAATATAATAACATTCACTATTACAGAATACCTGCCCTGTGCCAGGCAAACACCATCTTGTTTAATCTTTACAATGTTATAAAGTTGGTGTTAACATTCCCATCTCACATATGGAGAAACTGATGTGTATTAGTTATCAAATGCTGCATAACAAGTCACCCCCAAACCTAGCGATTTAATATAACAGTCAGTGATTGTGGGTCAGGGAGGGATTCAGGAGCAGTTTGGGCTGAGTGGGTCTGGCTTGAGGTCTCTCAGGACCTCAGCTCGGATGTTGGCCTGGAGCTACAGTATTCTGAAGGCCTAAATGGGGCTAGGGGACTTGTTTCCAAGTGGCTTGTGCACATGGCTGGCAAGTTGGTGTTGGTTGTTGGAAGGAGGCCTCCATTCCGTTCCGTGTGAGTCTCTCCCCATGGCTTATTGAATGACCTCACAACCAGGTAGCTGGCTTCCCCCACAGTGAATGGCCTAAGAGACATGAGTGGAAGCTTTAGTGTGGGTTATGAGCTGGCCTGGGAACTTACACACTGCCGCTAAGGGCCAGAGTCTACTGGTCACACAGATTTGTCCTAATTTAGTGTAGGCAAGGGTTTCACAACACAAGGCTCCTTGGAGTTCATTTTGGAGGCTGGCTGCTGTAGACTGGTTCAGAAAATGGCCCATATCCCGCCACTGTGTGTGCTGCAGGGATTCACACCCAAGTTGCTACCTCCTCGGGTAAGGCTCTAGTGGCAAATGTGAGCCAGAGCAGCGGCTGTACTGATGGGTTCAGAGGACCTGAAGGGGCCTAGTGGGGTGCCTCGCAAGCAAGTGTCGAAGCCCAATAGGCAATGGCAGTCACACTGCCTCTCATGAGGAAGACTGGGGAGACCCCAGAATGGAGACAAGGTGTGCCTTGGTTTTCTTTACCATGGGTGCTTAGCCATCATAGCAGGCAAACTCTGAGGGGCTCCCTCAGTGTTGGCAGCTGATGTCAAGGCACCATGGTTTTTTAGTGTGCGTGAGTGGCTGGAGGAAGCAGCCTCATCCCTTCTCTGTGCTTTGCAGAGGTGTGAAACGGTGTTTGAATTCCCTAAGTGCAGTGCTGTCAGCTGAGCTCAGGATGCCCAGGTAGGTGCATGGTAGCTTTACACCATCTGATGCCTGAGTCATCCCAGATAGACCAGGGCTCTCTTCCCTTCCACAGCATTTAATGGGACTGAGATCCTGTTCAGCAAAACAAAGGGGCTAAACGTGCTCCCCAAGTCAAAGTCTGGATGGATCTTTCTTATTAGATTTGCTTTTATTCTAGGGAAACAAGATTCAGCTCTATGAACAATTAGCTACAAATACAAGATGCTTGGTAAAATGTGAGCTGCCTGCCCTTGCTGAGAAATGGGAGGAGGCTGGTGTCCTCCTGGGTTATAAGACATCACCACCAATCCCTGAACTGTGACCAAGGCAAAGCTGCCCCACTCCCAGGATCCTCAGAGGTCTTGGAATTGCAGCCCGAGAAAACACAAAGAGCCACAGAAATGGCAGGCAGACTGGGATGAGAGCAGTTGCTGGCCTCATGTGAAATGAACAGGGCATGGGCACACAGGAAGTTGCTTGCAGAGGGTTCTGTGAGGTGTGGCAGAGACGACAATTTGACAGACTGGGCAGGCTAAGAATGTAGCAGGTATGAAAAATGGAGCCTGCCTTCCTTTAAGCAGTGGGGAGGCATTGAGGAATATTGAAAAGCGCTAGGAGCAGGACCCAGCTCCATCTAAGGGCTCCTGTTACTACTGTTGTTGCTATTTAGCAGGACGACAAGAGGTTGTGCTTTGGGAAAATAATGTTGGTAGCTTGGCCAGAATAACAATTATGATGATACCTAACATTTACTGAGCACTTTCTATGGACCAACCCCTTTAAGTACATTATCTTATTTAATTCTAACCTCCTTGGAACAGAGATATTATTATCTGTATTTTACAGATGGGAAAATGAAGAACAGAGAAAGTAACTTGCCCAAGGTAGCCTTAAGGCATGGGAGAAGGGGACCTACTCAGGAGGTAGGAGATGGCCATGAGAGGACAAAGGCCTACATTGGGGTGTGGCTGAGGGATTGGAGAGGGATGACTGGAGGAAGAGGAGTTAGTAAGAAAAAAATGACCAGACATATTGCCTGATAGGGATGAGGAGGGGAGATGGTGTGGGATCAGCAGCCCCGAGAGTGAGTGCCACAGAGGCCTGCTCTCTGGCATTATTTGGAGGGATCGTTGGCTCTCTGGAAACAGGAGACCAGAATGTTTCTTCAGGGGACATTTTGAACCTCTGAGCCAGATTTTCATGTAGGAAGTCGTCCTTAAGCCCCCCCGGCGTACATTGGCATCTGCAAAGCCCCGGGCTACTCTCTGGACTTTGGGCATCTCTGTAAGTGGGTAGGGTGAGAGAAGAGGGCTTGGGAATCCTGTGACCAGTGCCATTCAGGTGATGGTGCTGGGTGTGCTAGGTGCTGAGTGATACTGGAGCTGGCTGCAGTCTCTCTCATCCCTCAGAGAGTGTGGGATACTCAAGACTCTGCTGAAAGGCCTAAGGTGGGGGCAGAGGTAGAAGGCCCAGCCCCTGGGGTTGGCATGATTCCTACAAAGCAAGCAGAATGCTGGGGGCAGTAGACAAAGGGAAGGCCAGGCCTGTGGCTGTTTTGGGTGTCCCCGTGGTACTTATGAAATAGCCAGTGCCTTTATAGTGGTGCAAAGGGCCTGAGCCTGCCCTGCAGGGGAGGAGGCTTTCTCCAAAAAGGCCCCAAAGTTTTGGACTGAAATGACAGTGATGATTTTAGAAGCAGCTCCTGCCTTTGGCTGGGCACTGTGCCAGGAGGTTTGGGATGGGGGTGTAGAGGGAAGCCAGCCTGCCGTGG